GTGCACCCCCTGAGATTGGCCGTGCACCCCCTGGAAGCGCCAGTCATGAAACCGGAGGTGCCGACAGAAGTGCACTTCTGGTTTTGCCAGTTTCACTGCTGGTGGTTCTGGACTAAGCGATCGGCCTCCGGGGGACTCACCCCCCCGGTCGGCAATCTGGTGCCTCCCCAGACTCGGGAGGCACCAGTTGCCCATGGGTGGTACAATCACGTATCCTGGAAACCTTCAAGAGGACACTAGACAGTCACCTTGCTGGGGTCACCTGATCTCCAGTTATCTTTCCTGCTTGGTGCAGGGGGGCAGACCCAATGATCTTCCAAGGTCCCTTCCAGCCTTACAATCTATGACTCTATGAACACCCTTACTGTCTCTCCAGGCTGCGGCACCCCTGCCATTCAGCCAATCATCAGTGGCTATGCCCGGATTGTGAATGGTGAGGAGGCGATTCCTGGTTCCTGGCCCTGGCAAGTCTCCCTGCAGGTGAGAGCCCAACAGCCCCTTGTGCCCAGATGGGGCACAAACCCAGGAGGGGCCCAACTTTGAAAGAGCAGGGCGCTGCTGAGCAGAGGGCAGGGCGTGGTGCTCCATGCAGGTGGTCCCACCCGCTCAGAGCTGGCAGCTGCAGGTTCCCAGCTAAGTGCAGGTTACTGGGTCTTCCTGTGCCAGGGTAGCCAGTGGAGCTCAGGTATTTTCTGGAAGAGGAGGCTTCCTCCTGGGATCTTTGGGTAGAGTGCCCCAACATGTGCCAGAGGGGTTTGCCCAGCAGTGGAGCACTATGGGCAAAGCTGGCTGTAAGCTTGTTCCCATCAGGTGAACTACTGTGCTCACAGCTACGTGAAACTGGGGAAAAGGCTTTTGCTGAGCTCAAAGGATGCTGGCTCAGACCCTGTGACTCAATGTCTGTGCTCACCTGCAGGGCTTTTGGGACAGTGTGGGGGTCTTTGTAATGGGGAAAAAGTCTGGAAAAGCATCTCTGTAGGAGCCAGGCTGGGTTGTGCCCTGCTGGCAGGATTGGATCCAGAGGAAGGGGTGTCCCTGGCGCGTGCCTACCCCACGGCCGAGGTTGTTCATTGTCTCCTCTCCCCATCACAGGATAACACTGGGTTCCATTTCTGTGGCGGCTCCCTGATCAGTGAAGACTGGGTGGTGACTGCAGCCCACTGTGGGGTCAAGTAGGTGCCCTGCTTTTGCCCTCCTGCACAGTGGAGTCACTGGGGACATAGAATGAGACAGGGAGGACTGGAGATAATCTGGTTGGATTGAAACTGCATGAAAGTCTGGATCTTCTCAGGGAACTGCGCTGGGCTGGATGAGCTGCAGCAGGGCACTAGGTTCCTGCCACAGGGGCTGCTTCACAAGATCCATTTGTGGTTGATGCCTGCTGCTCTGTCAATGCCCTGCCTCCATCCTTGCATAGAGGCTCCCCAGTAGCTATGCCAGAGTTTGACTGGCTAAGAACCACTCTGCAGAGCCTCTATGAAAAGCTCAGGGCAGTGGGAGGAAAGGTGCACTTCCTGTCTCCTGTGTGACTTCCCTGTGCTTCCCCCTCTTCAGGACAACTGACCGTGTGGTGCTGGGTGCATTTGACCTGGGCTTTCTAGAAGAGGATGTGCAAGTCCTGAAAATTGCCCAGGTAGGTGGCTGGCCCTGTGCTGTCCCCACCCTGAGGCTGCCCAGGATCCCACCCCTCTCCATGGGGCCAGGCTAGAGCATCATCCTCTGTCACTGAGGGGAGCCTGGGATATACCCGCTTTGCCACATGGACAGAGCCTTGCATGCCCATCACACCCCATCTGAATGTGTAGAGAGTGCACAGTAAGAGCACTGTGGTTCCCATGGGGGAAAGGACATGGTCTCCCTGGGCTCTCAGCAGTGGTAGAACTGGCCTCCGTGGGTCTTGCTGTGAGTGGACCTGGTCACCCTGGGCTCCTGCTGGGGGAGCCGTGTCCTCTGCTTGAGTCCTGTGTTGGTGGAATTAGTCTCTGTGGGTCCTGGAGACGTCATCCCTGGTCTCTGTGGGTCTGTTGGGGTATGACCTGGTCTGTGAGGGTCCTGTGCAGTGGTCCCTGATCAATGTGGGATCTCCTGGATACCACCAGGTCTCAGTGTTGCTCTGTTTCTCTGACAGGTTTTCAAGAACCGCAATTTCAACATGCTCACACTCAGAGATGACATCACTCTGCTGAAACTGGCCACTCCAGCCAAAATGACGGCCCGTGTGTCTCCTGTGTGCCTGCCTAAAGCCACTGAACACTTCTCTGGAGGCATAACCTGTGTCACCACAGGGTGGGGCCTGACCAACCCCAATGGTGAGGTCTCTGAGCATGCAGGCTACTTCTGCTGCTCACAACCCCCACCACCTGAGAGCATTCGGGGCCCAGCTGGGTGATACTTCCAGCCAGCTGCCCCCACTAACTCAGCCCTTGCCCCTCTTCTCAACTCCTCCACCTCGACTCATTCTTTGGGAACACAGTGGACCAGCTAAGGGGACCAAAACTGGCACCCCAAGTCCTGTGTATTCCACGGTCCCTCCTGTTGGAGCCCCAGCCTGTTTTTCCCCCTGTGCAGACCGTGAGGACCTGAGGCTCCAAGGTAGCTCCGTCCTGTTCTGGGTCTGCTGGGCTAGAAAGTACCAGGAATGCATGCCCAAGGACCTGGGGGTCTGTGCACTGTTCTGCTGAATGCTTTCCCTGTTCCTTGCCATGTTTTGCAGCTCAGAAGACCCCTGACAAGCTGCAGCAGGTGGCCCTTCCACTCCTGACTAAAGTACAGTGCAAGTCATACTGGAGCTACAGGATCAAAGATTGCATGGTCTGCGCAGGTGCCGAGGGAGCCTCCTCCTGCATGGTACCCATCCCTCCACCCAGCCCTCCTTTACCCTACCTCTAGGCTCTCCATCTGCCCAGGAAGCCCCAGTACCCTGAGGATGCTCGCCTTCTAGTCATTTCCTTGCTCCAGCTCTTCCTTCCACTGTCTCCATCACCCCATCTAGTCATTTGGATGACAGGACTGAGTGCAAACTAAGCAGATTAGCAGGTGACACCAAGATGGGTGGAGTCACAGACACTCTGAGGGGTAGGACTAGAATCCAGAATGACCTGGATAGACTGGAGAAGTGATCTGCAATCAGTCAGATGAAATTCATTACATTTCTGCACTTGGGATTAAATAACTGGACCCACAAATATATATTGCCTGAGCTGCAGCACTGCAGATAAAGACTGAATAGGAGCCAACAGCATGCTTTTGCTGAAAAAAAGCCAACACTGGATTATATTAATAGGAGTGTCACTTGTAAATCAGGAGAAGTGAGTCTTCTACTCTTTTCAGCACCAATGAGGCCTCACCTGGAGTGCTGTGCCCAGACTTCAAAAGAGATGTGGACAGATTGGAATGAGTCTAGCAGAGTGACAAAAATGGCTAGGGGCCTGTGAAGCATGACTTATGAGGAGAGGCTGGAAGAAGTAGGGTTATTTAGCCTGAAGAAGACAAGATTGATAGCAGTTTCAAATACCTGCAGGGAAATTATAAAGAGGATGGAAACAGCCTTTGGTCTGTGACTGCACGGGACAGGACTAAGAGCACTGGCTTCAAAGTGCAACAGTGGAAATTTAGGTTGGAGATTAGGAAGAATTTTCCGACTATGAGGGTGGTCAAGCATTTGGAAAGACTACCTAGAGGAGTTGTGAACTCTCTATTCTTGGACATTTTCAAAGCAGCTTGGACAGACAGTTTAGCCAGGAGGTTTAGGCCAGGACAATCCTGCCCTAAGCAGGAGACTGGATTAGATGCCCTGATGAGGTACCTTCCAGTCCTACCTTCCTATGATCCCATGCCTGCGTCTACTACTGCACTAGTCCCACTGCAGAGTAGCCATGCTCCTCTCCATCCACCCCTCCTCATCCCTGCCTGTGGGCCCTGCACTCACTCTCTTGGATATACTGATCCATCTGTGAAAGCACATACTCACTCCCTGCAGCTTTTTTCTGTTGAAGAGCGAGGGGTGGTGGGCAGATCCTTGATGATTTGTTTCACAGGATTGAAGGCTCCCCCACCCCAACCTCCTGCTGCTGTTTCTCTTGCAGGGTGACTCTGGTGGCCCCCTGGTGTGCCAGAAGGATGGCATCTGGACCCTGGTGGGGATCGTCTCTTGGGGAAGCAATACCTGCTCCCCCTCCAGCCCTGGTGTTTACACCCGTGTCTCCAAGCTCAGGCCCTGGATCAATGAGATCATAGCAGCCAATTAATGCTGGCAGCGCAATTAATGTTGGCAGTGGCTCCCATGTGAACAGTCAATAAAGGACACCTCAGAGCCTGGCCTCAGCTGCTCTGTGCTCTTGCTTTAGGACACTGCTGATCAGTGTGGGGGGGGAGGATTCAGGCAGAAGCACAGACCCCCTGTGGCATCCTGCTTATGCACCGAGAGCTGGGGGAGCTTCATCACACATTCCCCAAATCCTTGGGGGTCCCCAAAGGGTGGCTGTCTTTCCCAGAAGGCACGAGCTCATGGAGGCTGGCACCAGGTACCTTGAGAGTTCAAAAGGAGACGGGATGCACACCTTGCTGGGGTTATTTGACACCAGCAGTCTTTCCTGGCCCGAGCAGGGGGACTGGACCTGACAATCTCACGAGGTCCCATCCAGCCCTAAACTTCTGTGACTCTGTGACAGCGGCGGCCTAGTGTAGCACCAGGGTGAGCACTATCACAACCTAGCTAATGCAAACCAGTGCCACAGCCACACCCCCAGAGCTCTCACCACTGCTCAAGGGTCCCTCCTGAAATCAGCAGCATATTCCTAATCATCCAGCCCTCTCTGCCCATTGCAATGGACCCAGAAAGCCTGAAACCCCCTCTGCAGGTTGGCTTCGCAATTCCACCTTAATAATCAGTTCCACCTTAAGGAGGGGCTGGGTATTAAGGGGAGTCCCCAGCCAAGATGCTAGGCCAGTCCAGAGGCTGCTTTCACTTTGGGTAGCAGCAGCAGCTGGGAGCTGCAGGGCAGCCGCAGCCCACACAGCTCTGGGCCCTGCTCCATTGCGCCGGGCCCTGCCCTTCCTCCCCTGCCTTGAGCTGTGCTGCTCTGCCCCCGACGGCTGGGTGGCTGCTGCCCCACTAAGCCAGAAGGCACCCACCATCCTGTCTGCTCTCAGCCATGCCACTGCAGAAACTGCAAGGAGCAATGAGGATTTTCAGCTGCCAGAGAAGCTACTGCCTGAGAGCACAGGTAAGGGTGGGAGCTGTGGTCAGGGGCCTCCACTGTCCCTGGAGGCCCAGATTTCCCTTCCTGACGTGGCCTTGCGATGACCTTTGGAAGGGAGCAGCTGCCACGCAGACCCCTCTGTTGCTGGGGAGAATCCAGGGTGATTTGTGCAGCAGTCCTGCAGGGCCAGACTTCACCCCCTGCGCCCTGGCACCGTGCTGAGGCATGGGCATTGCTACTGCCCTGTAGTCCCGCTGGGTGGAGTTAGGTTGGGGACACATTAGGTCCCACCTGCGGGGCTCCCAGCAGCCTCCCTTGCAGTCCTGGCTGAGCGGCATTGCATGCTGGGACCTGTAGTCTCCCCCTGCCACATGCTGTCTGTCTACCTAGGCACGGCCTGTGCTCCGTTTCACAGACAGCTAGTCCTCTGGTGACAGCCCCTCATCCGGCCCAAGCCGGGCACCATGCAGCTGTGGTCTGTGCTGCTGAGTTGCATCCCCGAATCCTGCCCCATCCAATCAGTCACCAGCGCAAGAGATGCTTTTGCCTTGGGCAGAACAGGGACAGACAGACACAAAACACTTCAAGCTTCACCTTTTCTTAAGACATATTTAATCTGTGATGCTTCAGGAGCACACAGACATCCAGCTGCCTCCCAGCTCAAGCAGTGTTGTGAAGCGCTTGGGAGTTATCCCCATTTCATCTGGGGGCGGCTGTTATATGTCTCAAGCTGGTTTGCAGCGTGGTAGCACATGAAGGATGTCTGGCCCTGCCCTGCAACGGTTTGGTTAGAGAGGTAGAAACTTTGGTAATGAACATCTGGTCTGTTTCCATGGAGGGAGGTGAAGGAAATCAAGCCCCAAAACAAGCTGAAGCCAAACTGTGGCAGCAGCTGTCAGTAGGGATACAAGGGAAAGTCACTGCCAAAGGCCAGCACCTGAGACGGACAGTAGGCAGAGTCAGCTCCAGCAGACATTCGTCTTCCTCTTCTCATGTCTTTTTTCATAGGCCAGAGTTGTGCTCAAGTGAAGGCTCTTACTGTTGCTGCAGCAAGGTCTTCCTCCTTGTCACTAACAATTTCAAATGTATGTAATGCAAACCTCTAACTCACAACAGGTTGGCCTGCTGCATCACAGCCATGGGCCGTTTAGAGGGCTGGCACTGACAGTCATTTCTGTAAACACTAAGGGACTCACAGGAGCCAAAAGGGACATTCTTTCCAGGATGTGTACCAATTACAGATGTCATGCTCTGTCTCTAGGTTACACCAAACAAAAATAGGTCACTGTTCCATGGGATGAAATTAGCCATCAAAAGGCAGCATGAGAAATAAAGCCGCAGGCATTAAACGTATGCTGATATCTTCCTCGGGGTATCTGGGGCTGATCACTGACTTACCAGAGTTACCAGACTCTCTGCTTTGAGAGTCTTGCTAAAGGTAGGACCTGGTGGCTCCCTGCTGGGTGTCTTTCAGTATGTCTATGCCAGTGGCTCATGGAACCACTTGATGCATCCTGCAGAACTGGAAGGTGCCTTTGGCCATGTTGGGACCAAGCAGCAAGGAGCTGTGCTAGGGTCAGGCACCTGGGAGCTGAGTCCATATCAACACCACTTTCCTCAGCCCCTGCTCCTGGCTGCAGTGCAGGCGCAGGGTCTAGCGGATGAAGAGCTGCACTGCAGCTGGGAGGTGCGGGTGGGGGGCCAGGAAGAAGCAGCAGCAGCAGTGATGACTCTGCTCCCAGCTTCCCTGCCCTCCACAGCTCCCCACCAGCTGGAAGTGGCAGAGCAGGGGGCTGGGGGCAGTGGCAGAAGCATGGGTGCAGTTCCCAGCTGTGTGGCTCCAGCATCGGCATAGGCAAGGTCCCTGCTGCTGATACACTGTCAAAGCCACCCAGCCTGCATCGGAGCACAGCCAGCTTGTTCTGACCCATGACTTGGTAAAGGTTGCTGGCCCCTGGTCTACACCATGGCAGGTGGTGCCCTGGCTAAGCTGTTCCTGAGCTCTTCCTGCACCTCAGTCCCACTCACACGCTCCAAACCCAGGAGCACTCCAGGAGGCTGTTCCAGGATGTACCTCTGTAGTTGCTCTTGAGCCCTCGGTCTCCAGCAGCTACTGGGGACATCACTGGCCTGGCTTCACTGGGCACTTCTGGGTTTGGTGCACAGGGCTGTGGTGTGCGTAGGAACAGCTTGCCAGGAGGCACCGTCACTGCAGTATAGTAAACCCTCCGTGTCTCCTGGGCAGCTGAGTTTTACTTACAACCCAAAGGCTGCTCTTTCCCCCTGCTTAGTCCTTCAGGTTCCCCTGAGGTTCAGAGCATCCAGCTAAGTTCTCCCCTTCTCAGATATAATCAGCAGCAACAAAGGCTCTTCTTGCCACACGTGGGACCAACAGGGAAGAAGTCTAACTCCTGTTTCCACCCTGTCACTGGTCTGGCCCTGCAGGGCCCACTTGAAAAGCAGAAATTTCATATTTTGATGAGTAAACTTGGTCTCTGTTATACACAGGAGAGGAGGCAGCTCTGCTGGGCAAGGAGCAGCTTTTTGTAAGTGTAGACAGTTTGCAGAGTCAAACTTGGCATAAATGCGCAACAACTGCAAAGTTTTATCTTTTGACTTTAATTTGTGCTAATGAAAAGAAAAAGGCTTATTTATGCTCACTGTGTTTGGTAAACACAAGCACATGTGAATGAGGAGTGCTACACAATGAACTTTATTTGTGGCGCAGGAGGAAACCTCTGCAGATCCTCTAGCTAAATAAGTAACCTATTTAGGGGGCCATCTCCCAGTTTCCAACTTCCTCAGTCTCCTGTTAGGGAGCCTCTCTAAATTATAGGTCCTATCACTACACACACCAGGACCTAGGCAGCCAGATGTGGGGCCTAGACTGCCTGCTGATGGAGCTAGACCGGGAGGTAGGCAGCTAGACTGCCTGCTGGTGACAATGACATGTATCAGTGGTTCTCAAGCTCATTGGACTCGAGGCACCTCTCTCTGGATTCAAAGCACCCCTCCATATCTTTTGTGAATAGAGTAGCACCCGGTTTCCAAAACTAATTTATATATTGCAGTGCTTACGTCCTTGCAGAGGGGGTCAGGAACAAGCCTGAGTCAGTGCTGTCAGATCCATGGCAGCCTTCAAAGGATATGGTAGCACCCCATGGTGCCATGAGACACTGGGTGAGAATCACTGACCTATATGTCCAATACATGCTTTCTGCCACAAGAGGAACCCGTCTGTTCCAGGAGAGGTTGTGAGGCTAGTCTTGTCAACCTCTTGGGTTGAACCTGAACCCTAATTCTGCTCCTGCCTCATACTTTGCAGCACACCTTCAAGGTCTTGCAGCTTGTAGATATCCTGCACTTCCCAGCTCCCCAGGGGCTGGGCACTTGGTGTTCACAGGGGAGTCATGGCACAGCGAAGTGGTCTCCTCAGATAATTTCAAGAAGTCGTGATAATCCTTTAAATTTTCTTTCCATGATCCATTGTTTGGCTGAGGAGGAAGCTGACAGCAGATGCTGAAAGGAGGTAAAAGGAGTCTGAGATTCCTGGTGCCAATAACTTAAGATAAACATCAGAGAGGAGGTCTGCACAGCACACAGAGGGTGTGAGTGGAGCACATGCCAGCACACTTAGGCTAGTTTGGTCTAGGTAGCCCACGTAACCACAGCAGAGTTACAGGATCATGGGAAAATAGGGCCACAAGTGACTTCAGGACATCACCTAGTCCAACCTCTGCTGAAGATAGGGTCATCCTACCTAAACCATCCCAGCCAAGTATTTGTCTGACCTGCCCTTACAAACAGAAAATGACGAGATTCTGCAGCCTCTACTGAACCTCGTTAGTTCTCAGCCAGGCCCATGATTAGAAGGTCATTTCTAATACACAACCTACATTTTCCTTGTTACAATTTAAGACCATTGCTTCTTGTTCGCTTTATAACCAACCTTTTTTTGTAGGCTATCTAATCCCCCGTCAGGCTTCTCTTCCTCAGACTAAAAGTCCTGGTTCTTCCAGCCTTTCCTCGTGTCATGTTGCCTGGAC